TCATCCTCGTCATTTTTGATATGTATTTCCCTCAGCGCTGACATTGCTGGTGGTGGTGGCGACGCCGCTGATAGTGCCAGCAGTGGCGTCGCATTTGCGAGGAGCCCTTAGATCGAGGGGCGAGAAGAGGTTTTGGGGAAATTATCCGTTGTTTCGCGAACCCTTAGATTAGGCTTATCGCGCACGAGCCAGTTCGACTCTCTCTCTCTCTCTCTCTCTCTCTCTCTGTCTCTCTGTCTCTCTGTCTCTCTCTCTCTCTCTCTCTCTCTCTCTCTCTCTCTCTCTCTCTCTCTCTCTCTCTCTCTGCCTGGCTGTGGGGATTAGCTGGCTCTGCGGTTGGCATTCGTGGGTTCACATTCGCATTTCAGGGGAATAATTGAACACATAGCCATGAGTCAGGGCTACGTGGAATCCTACCTACGTAACTACGTGGCAACTACATACGAGTATAGAGCTACACGTTTCTGACAACGACATCCTGTGCCTCGCGATCTAGTCGGGGAGGCCAAGCGCGAATGGCGGACTCGTCTCCGCAGGATGCCACCAGGATGTCAAGACGTTAGGCGGAGAAATGCCGAAATGCCGAAATGCCGAAATGCCGAAATTCCGAAATTCCGAAATGCGCCCTGTTCTTACGTTCTTGCACTTAGCTATGGAGACTGGAGCTTCGCTACAAGCGTAGACCGAACAGAGTGCGGAGTGCGCCCAAACTGGATTACACATTGCTGTCCCAGGCTGCAGCCGCTACACTTACCCTGCCGGCCTCTAGCTAAATCGAATCACAGCATCCCGAACGAAGTTAGCGATTCCCCTCGAGCATATCACGCATGTACACGCACGACGACAGTCGGGGAGCAGCACTCTCACGCACATTCGCTTCGATGCACGCATTCTACGTGGGAAAACAGAGACTCGCATTGTGCCGTTCTTCTCTCTCTCTTCATTTCTATCGTGCCGTTCCTCTCTCTCTCTCTCTCTCTCTCTCTCTCTCTCTCTCTCTCTCTCTCTCTCTCTCTCTCTCTTTATACCCCATATACCATATGTAATATTACATACACAGCAATCCTGCTCAATTTTTGATTCACCATAGATACTGACTCTTGGACTTTGTGAAAGTTTCTTCGTTTAGTTCTATGACATTTTAACTGTTGTATAAATATTAAAAGTGCCTACGTGTCTCAGGAAAGGCAAACATTTTAGCTGACGATGCGTGTCTACGACAATGCCGACAATTAAATAGACAACCAGCCAATGATCGAGGGACGAATGGGCATGCAGTTAATTTTACTTCGATTACATGTATGCATACCGCAAAACGTAGCCAGTTGTCCGAGCTGGAGAATTAAAAAGTACTAGGTGGATAGCGCCGAGTGAAATTTAATATTGCGTAAAAGCTTTCTGCCGTTTTACAGGAAGGCCACCACCCTGGCCAGAGTCAGTTTTAACGCGGAGCAATTTAATATGCTGATGTTTCTCATAAATATCAGCTCGTAGCTCGTAGCTCGTAGCTCGTTGATGCACGTTGGTGTTCCTGATGCTTCGGATTCGTGTTCCCGCATCTCCCATGTGCCCTCCTCTGTCCCCTGCCTTCTCGCCCACTTGGTTACACAAGTCTCTAGTCTCTAGGCTTACGTTCAGCAGCCCTGCAAAGTTACTAAGATCATATTTCTTCGGTACAGTCTTTCGCACGGTTTGCTGGAACAGTTGATCCACCCTCGGGGTTTACGCCCGTGCGACCCTCGGGCGCATAGAACACCACGGGAACCCCAGAGTAAACAAGGCAAGAAACGGAGTAAATAAAAGAAGAAGAAAAAAATAGAAAAAAAAAAAAAGAAAAAGTGCCAAGTGTGCGCGCTGCCGATTGAATAGAACGTTCGTTGGCCAGCACATGTCACTGGTGTCAAAGTTACAAGTATCTAAAGAAGTGTCTCTCAGTCATATCATGGCAGTGCCACCGTAATTAGGATACAATTGTTGGTTATGTTATTAATGAATAAAATTGATATGTTAAAACGGAAATTATATATAAGGGTCACGTGTATCCCCGCGGACGAAGGAAGCACAGCGAAAACGATGAAAGTTTCAGGCTCAACAGCTCCGTTTTAGCCTCAAGGAGATCTTGCGCTGTTATTCCAGCAGGACGGCGCCGGCAGAGCGCTGAGAGAGTGCGCTTCTGCTCTCTCTTTCTCTCTCTTTCTCTCTCTTTCTCTCTCACACACGAAAAGACGACGCTTGGAAGATTTTTGCTTAGAGAGGGCAAAACGAAGGGATAGGCGCTCGTCCTCGCCATCGTCTTCATACCTCTAAGTCGAGCAAGTCAAATAAGACGGGACGGGGGGGGGCTGCCCCTGCTCCTGCTCCTGCTCCTGCTCCTGCTCCTGCTTCTATGCGGGCTGAATTGTAAGCCGGCTGAACTTTCTGCCTTCTTTTCTGCTCGTTGCCCGGGGATGGGATGAAGTGGGTTGAACTAGGAGGATGAACTTGCTTCCTTCTTTAAATTACATTTGGCCACTCGTTTGGCGACCCACCTTTTCCTCCTCTGTCTCTGCTTCTTCCGTTTCCTATATTCCCTTGCTTCTTGACGCGAGCACGTCCTTATCACGCATGTCCATTGACATTTAGCAGATCTCAGTAATTTGAAGTTGTCGAAAGTGCACAATGTTTCTAGTGGCGCCTCAAGAATTCAGGAAAGAAGATTCCGTATAAGTGAGCTTCTAGAGTGCTATGAGCGGTCTTATTAATAATTTTATAAACAAACGTAATTCAAGTCCGTGATAAATAGCCAAGTAATACGCGCCCTATGAATTATTTAAGCCTTTTAAAGAAATATTCATTCGGTGCGGCGCGGAACCTACCATCCCTTGCTCCGTTCTTCCAGGCAACCGGAAGCTGGTGGGATGGTCGAGTGCCGGAGAGGGTTTCGCGAAAGCCTTCGCAGGAAGCGGCTCGGGAAAGCACGATAATAGCTGCAAAGCAGAATACGGGTTATATCGAGTCGAGTAACAGGAGGAACAATTTGCCTTGGAGTTGATGGGGGGTTGCGTCGGCAGGCACACGCGCTCCTTTGTTTCCTTATTTTCCTGCACTAATGTTTTCTTGCTTTCTTGCTTTCTTGCTTTCTTGCTTTCTTGCTTTCGCTTCATTAAGGTTGCTTTGCACGTGTTCTAGCCCTTACGTACTCTAGTCGCTGGATACGTCTTCTTATGGCGAACGGTGTCTCGCTGCTCCTAAAGATACTGCGTAACTGCCTAACTGCCTAACAAGGGGAAAGCGAGGGCAATGAAACTCTCCCTTTATCGGAAGCTTTGCGAATGATTTCAATCGTAAAGCACGCTGCGCTACGATTAGGAGTGTTCGACTGGAAAATACTTGGCATTGCTTCGCCTTATTTCACAGTGCCGCTTGAATCCATCGAACCATGCGAGGCAGTTGAGGCAGTTGAGGCAGTTGAGGCAGTTGAGTTGGCTGAATGCAGTCGAATTAGGCGATGGCAGCTCCGCCCCTTTACTTTCACCCTCAATAACTGACTTGCTTTTTGCGTGCACCGTATGCCAATTGCTTATTCCAAGAAGTGGTGAGATTGTTCTAGGGTGGCTCGCTACTTCAAATAATTATGACTCGAGGGATCTACATACGCGGTCTGTGCACCGTAGAAGAAAAATGCAATTGCGGGTAAAGAGCGACGAGTACCGTCTTCGACTCTGTGTAGAAACGTCGATAGTACGTTTTGTCGAACAGGTTATAAATAAGATAGATTACACTTTTTCTTCTTTTAACACGTTTACGTTCGCGCATTTTTTATGCATAGTATAATATGTATATATATCATTTTGAACTAGCTGTGAGCCACTGGTGGTACACGGTAAACTTTCTTGTACTCAGTTTGGCGTCGATTCGATTCGACAAATAGATTTCTTTTTAAAATTATTAAGGATGGCTCGTTCCAGAATTCTATGTATTAACTTCATTGAAGATAGTAGTAGTCGTAATAAGCGTAATAGTAGTTGTGGCAGCAGCTGCTATCGTAGCACACCAACCTACTCGTGCCCCTGCCGGATATCTGCTCGTTTGATACTTGAGTCGGATGAGATACACCGCATTCCGTTGCTGATAGCAACGGCTGCTGCTGCTGTTGCTGTTGCTGTTGCTACTACTGTGGCTACTGTCTCCTCCACTACTGATGTTGCTACTGCTTCCCGTTCTGGCGGGCGTACATCTACTTGTGCTCCTGTTGCTGCCGTTGCTGCATCACTGTTTCGCGAAAGTACTTAATGTAAGTACTTGGTGAAAAACAGGTCAGCCGTGGGTGCATACTTGGCAGGTGCATGCATACTTGTACGCGTTTCCGGTGCATGCCCCGATGGTACGCGGTTAACCTCGAGTCTGCGAGGGCTGCTGAACCGAACTGGCGGTGCGTCCTGCCCGCCGGTTATTCCTCGAACTCGGCGAGAGGAAGAATTGCACACGAGACTCTCCAAAGGGCAGCTGCCATTCCGGATTCTGGGAGGCAGAGAGCTCTTCTTCGGAGAACGGCAGGGTTGCCCAAAGTTTTCCAATTTAAAGCAATTAGTTTCTAAGACAGATAATCCAGTACAGGTCAGATTGGACCGAAGGTGGCTGCCTCTGTCCTTGGTAGTTGTCGCTGGTATCTGATATCGGACTCAGGGGACACGGTTACGAGCGTCAGTCAGGGGGACGTAGCAAGTTTCATTGGCGTCGTCACACAAGCACGAGGCTCGGCCGTCTGGCAGTTCATGCAAGCGATGGATCGTTCGTATTCATTCGAAATTGGCTCGAACTCGAGCAGGCTTTTGGGTTTCGGCTTCCGCTCGATGGAAATCCCATCAGCCTTGTCGTCAAATATTTTCGGTATGAACGCTAGACAAAAAAATGATAGCAAGCACGCTATCATACTATACTATCAGTAGATAAATAAGATATTTTTCAGTGGCTATTGAACCGAGTGAGTTTTAATGATATGTATTTTCTATTGTTTACAGAATCCGAAGCTAGCTGGGATGAATGGTGGACGTACGACGGGATTTCAGGTATTCTCATCAATGTGTAAAAAACAAACTCTTCGAACGTAAGGAGACAATATCAGTTTAGCAAAACGTAAATGATATAGAACACGAGTGAAATTTCTTAATTTTCTCTATTCAAAAAGTTATGAGCGTCATGCCACTCGCATCCGTGAATTTTTAATCTTAGCCTTGCTCGCAGTTTTTATTAAAAACAAGCAAGTAGGCAAGTAGGCAAGCAGACAAGCAGGCAAGCAGGCAAGCAGGTAGGGTAAAAAAGGGTAGCCAGACAAAATGTTGGTTCACGAGGTTAGCGTAGTTTCCCAGTAGATCCTACCCCCCTCCTCCCAGCCCTCCACCAGCGCCATACGAACCAGCTGCTACGCGATTTTCTTCCTCTCAGCCCCTCCCTCCCCATTACCACCGATCCCACGGTCCACCGTCCCAGTACCCCAGTGGCAGCGCCAGCAGCAAGTAGTAGCGGCGGCAGCAGTATCCATACCTCGTGGATATAGAGTCTTTTCCTTCTTTTAACTTCGATGCAATCGCTCGAGGCTTGAGTGTGAGAGTCGTATGTCTAAAGGTACGGCCTATCGTCAAACTTTAAAAAACTTGGCTGCTTTCCGGACTCTCCGCAACTTATTATCGCGGCTGCCGTTGCCAGTCAATTTTTACGGTTCCCTGGCTCCGACATTATGGACAGATGTTTCCGCGGATTTTACAGCCAATAAGTTTTTGATATGAGACTGTAGCGATTTTTGACTTTCCAGTGGGACACGAAGACGTAAGACGAGATTTTCGGCGATATGCGAAAACTGGACAAATATTTGAGTTCTCGCGGCAGACCTGAGTAGTAGCTATATGTATCGTACAATATATAGACATAAATCGGGTTATTCAACCCAAAGGGACCACTTGACGTTAGCGCGTCTATTTGATTCCTACGGTACTACCACGTTCAGATGGTGCATTTGGCTGGTGTCAGTTGGCAAGCCAAGTAGTCTGCTGCTTTCCTAGAACTTTATCTGACCACGGTTAGAGTAGAGGGTAGAGGGTAGAGGGTAGAGGGTAGAGGAGACGACTGGTGCCGATTGTCGAGTTGAACTGGTCAGTGCGCAGCAGCACGCAGAAAGGACACCGCCATACGTCTCCATAGTCATGCATATCGTTTAATATCTTTGACGAAGTTTACTATTCTCATTGTCGGTCTGCGCGTATAGTGCGAATAATTCCCAGAAGTTGGTGCTACTTCCATGACGTTAGAAATTAAATGAAATTATTTAAATGCCGTATAGTCTCGCAGCATCGTCCACCGGGAGCTATCTCGGCGTTGGGCGGCTGCTAAACATGTATGTATGCATAGAATATGTCTAGGGAATAGTGCTCCACGCAGATTGCCCTAGAATCTCCCAGAGAAGAAGCGAACCGTTGACATGATCAATGAAAAGCTGAAAAAATGTATAACCCACTGACTCCGCCTACGCGGAGTATACTATACATGCTATAGTACGTAACCCGCAGCCTCGTCAATCCTTCAGTCTACCTGCGCCCCCCAACCGTTTGTATTCCCGGCCGTGTATGATGCGTGTTACGTTCACCGGGAATAGCCGTGTTACCGGACTAGAGAAGCAATTACCTTAGTTAATTAACAAATTTACAACTACAACGTCGATGCGCTGCTGTTGTGGGACGTTGTGGCTCGTCGAGGGACTCTGGGCTGGACTGCGGCTGCTGGGGTACATGCGGGGATGGAGCGGAGAGCGGACAGCGGAGAGCGGAGAGAGGCTGGCTGGCAACGATATCGCCGGGGTGGCGCACTCGAATCTTTCGGAGTTTCTTGTCAGGTGCCATTCTTACCGACTCGTCAATGGGCAAATGGCCAGCGGCTGTGCTCCTGCGATCGCCAATGTATCACTCGCTTCTTGCGAAGGTCATTGGAATTTTAACAAACTGTGTAATTCCTATAGGAACAGCAGCAAGGAATACCGTCATTAAATGAAATATCTCGAATGCAGGCCAAAGAAAGGGTAAATAGGAAAAGAATTGAGACGAGGATGTTGCGAGGATACGAGGATAGGTGGGTAGGTGGGTAGGAGGGTAGGAGGGTTGGAGGGTAGGAGGATGGCGGATAGGGTGGGGCGAGTGTAATGAGGAGGCAGAGGTGGGGGATGTTCTTCATTAGCGTATGGATTCTCGCAGTCGAAAATATCCCGCGGTGGAAAAGATTCGTGGAAGCGCACGTTCGAGTCCCAGGCTTGATTGGAGAACAGAGCAATGTATTCATGTATGCATATGAATTCAAGGGGATGGCGGTGCCTGCCTGCAGGATAGAGAGATGTCTGCGGGCGAAGCCTCAACGTTGAAAAACATCTTAATTGGACTCTCCAGTCCTTGCGGCCCTTCGATCTGCTCCGCACCTTCAGAGTTTAGAATTCAGAACCTTCCTCGGGCTTCTCCGCGCCTCTCCGCGCCTCTCCGCGCCACTCCGTGCGCCCTAGTATCAACGCTTGTTCGTGTACTACACGTCAATCTTTCGATCGATGACAAATTATAATTCTATAATCATGCATAATGACATCGATCATTCGCATTGATATTTTTCATCCTTATAGTCAAGAAAACGATTGTCGCGATCTGGGTAGAATGGGAGAAGTGCCTGCGTCGATGATAGATTTGATTTTACGAATTGTCTCATCGATTCACAGCGGTATACTGAAGAGCCGTTGGCTGACAATCGTCAGGTATGGGGTGTAGGCATCGAAGATTCGTGAGTGCCGTGTGGTGGTGGTGGGGG